CATTTATGAATGTTTTGTTTCACTCCGTACGATATACCGTGTTTCTAAATTTTTAAACAGTATATTTGCTTGTTTCAATATGCAGTTTTGTCTCTCATATGTGCTTGCTAATATGGACAAATCACAGGTATTTTGTCGGGATAATGGAGAGGTCTTGGTAACCAAAGTAGTTATTTATTCTTATTTATGCATTTTTTTAAAACACCCCCTCCTTCTTGTTCCTGCCAAAGTTTTCAGTCAAATTCCAGGCGCTACATTTCTGCGGTGATTTAAGCTTGAATGCATGAAAACTGTTTACAAATTACCAGCTTCTGTGCCTTTATTTCATTCTCCGTAGAGACATTTTCCTTCAGTTCCTGTTATGAACCACTTATAATCTTCTTGGGGTGACCATTATACAGAGGATCTGTGGCAGAAGATGAGAGGAGATGTGGGCTTGAGTTGAACTCATACAGAAAGTATTCAGACATGGAACAGAATAGATAACAACACTGAGAAAAGACAGTTGTGGTTGAGTATACCTCCCTCCTAACTCTCTGTGCTGATTTACTTGGCAGACTCTGAAACAGATTTTTAATTTGCTCTGTGTTTATGATTTAGAACAAATTGTGGCACCTCAGAGGCCAATGTAATCTAATCATTAACACAAATCCATGTATTCAGATGCACTGACAGGCATACACATGCACTGCGGAATGTACGTTGTAATCCAATTATGTTAGCTGAGCTAAGTTTCCCATTCAAATTAGATTTACTTTGTAATGCCAGGCTTATTGTCGCTCAGGTGAATACGTGAGGTAGAGCTACAGGTTTGCCAGTGGGACAGGTCATGGGCAGCACTTCAGCATTAAAGCTTGAGTAGGGAGGCAGCAAACACATCTCGTGCTTCGCTGCACATAATGGTGGACAGAAACGTGTTAGAAGGTCACTGTCGTGTCTGTCTGTCTGTTCCAGCTGAACATTTTAAATTATTATTCAATGATACGCTGAGTCCCTCTATTATTGTCAATATTCCTTTTCGTTTGGAGTAGCATCCAGAAAAAATAAAACATCTGGTGCTGAGGATATATTTAGCAGCTCAGACCAAAAATTCTCATCGTAAATTTAATAAGTAGGATAAACTGATACCCTAATAACCTGCAAATACTTTTATGCTATCAAATAAACTCCACTTGTGGTTGCATAGGAGAGTTTTAATGTTGATGACACTCATCAATTTAGCTTGTAAAAAGTTTTTACTCATCATACAGTGTACTATCTGAATCCTGGTTACGCAATAACAGTAGGCAAAAGATATTCTTATGCATTAAAGTGATTGTGGAAGCCCCGCATGACTAACACACTTGCTCTGTTTCTGGTGCTCTGCTCCGGTCCACTCCCTGAGCATAAAAAGTCACAGCACAGATATGTGAGTCAGAATTTATTTCTGTATAATGTACAGCATGGAGCTGTGGTTTTCTAGGAGTCAGACCTATGCAAATAAGTAACGAGTAGTTGTCCTAGTTTTTAAAAAAGTGTCCAGATCCTGAACTACCAAGGTTAAACTCATTAACACGTTAACAGCTGTTCATAAATGCGTTTGTTGGGCTGGTGATTTTCATCTCTACAGCTCCCTGCAAAAGTATATACTTTTTTTTTACAAGCATGTAAATTTGACAGTTTATGAGAGAAAGCTGGTGGTGAGAATGGCCTTTGAAAGAGGCATCCCACTGGGAACAATCGAGCTATTTCAGTGCTTTGAGTATCAGCAAAACAATACACAGGCATGCACGCATCTCTCTTGGTTGTTTATGGCAATCTGTCCATCTGTTAGTCTGTCAGTTTCACATCGTCTTTTGAAAATGGGGTTAACGGCCACTGTTGTGTTAAGAGACGCAGGGATAACAATCATTGGGCCAAGAGGAAAGACTGGATGGACCTAAGAGAGGCAGAGACATCAACAGTAAGGAAAAGGGTCACGGAAGGAGGACACATTATGGAACGTGTAAAAATTCTCTGATTTATGGCCTATGATTGAGGATAATGGTTTGCTACCCTGCTGAGTTTGCAGTGCCGAGCCAAAAGCAAGAAAGAGCAGAGAAAAAAATGGAGCACTGGAGTGTCAGAGGGAGAAGAAAAAACGAGAGGTCGTTTATGTCGCAGCATCAGGATGAGATAAGATACAAGTTAGGGAATGAGGAGGAGAGGGAGAAAGGAGGATCAGGAATGAAAGCAGAAATTAAGTTTTAATGTCAATTTACAAAAATAAATAATTTGCCATATTAAAATCATGCAGATATAATTGCCCATTCAAATTAGATTAAAATAAGACAAAGTTAAACCATTTTTTATTTTTACTTCATGAAACTTTGTGAACGTCTTATCAACATTAAGGCTATCTAATTCACAAAGATCGGACACGAGGTGTGTGCTTGAGTATGTTTACAACAGCAGTGGCAACGACATCTTAGTTTTACACACCAATGCACAGACACACAATACCAGTAGAAGCCTGTCTAGTCCTCTACCTCCTCCCCCTAGTCTGCTTAGGAGAGAATCCTCAACAGACCAGCCCAAATTGAAAATGCAGATCCAGTTTTTTAAAGCAGAGCCCTACTTACTATATCACATTCTACAGCGAAGATAATACACTCTCCACAAAACCTGAATAATGTTGTTGCAAAGCATTGTATGTCCCCAAAAGCATACAGTACCTTCTCAAAAGCCACTCAATATAGAGTGTTTTATTGTTTAAAGATAGAAATATTTTCCACTCTTTCCAGCTGTAAGTCAGAGGAGTTCCCAGTGTCAGTCTGACACAATGCTGCCAGTTTTCGTTTTTGTCAAGTATTATAACACAAAGGTTATACGGTGATGCAACAAGGACATGAATGGACGGGATATAAATGAGCTACTGAGTATGTTAACTTTTATTGAGCAGAAAGAGGATTAGAGCAACACCCCGATCTTAGGCAAGAGGGACGCCTCCTACTGTGTGAAAATAATCACTTCTTTTTTTCTTTTTTTAGTGAGGCTTTAGTGTTGGAGATGGTCAATTTAAATGTTTTATTCAAAACTTATAGCGGCAATGACTCAGCTACTAAATAAATTCTGTGTCAAGAAGGGCCTAAATGATCGCCGTTTCATTCTGACATCGAGCTCCAGCACATGTTGGGAAAAAAGATTAACTGCCATCTATTAACCTTAATATGTGTAATCAAATCATTCGTCTCATAAAATCCTCACCCCCACCTTCTCATTATTACCCTGTAACTGCTGAGCTCAGCCTACTGCTGTTCTTACTAATGCGTAGCCAATTACGACTGTAGGTGCTGGGCCAGAAATTGGCCAAGAGGTGTGTGCCTGACTGTGAGGGAGCTGGGTTTAGATGTTCCCTCTGTGTGTGTTGATGGTCTGCCAATGCCAAGCTTATCAGAGGAAAAACAGTTACAACAGAGGAAGAGGACAAGAGACCAAAAGAAAGGTGAAATGATGCTGCTACTATAACTAGTAATACAAATAATTATATTAATACTATTAATAATGGTTATTATTATTAGCATTAGTGTTTTTAGAAGTAATCAGAAGTTAAAGCATCAGAGATTTTGTGTATGATTAAATTTTCTTGGAATATCTCCCATAGACAATAGATGGCTCTGTCATGGAAATTTCTGTCCATGAAAGGAATCTGTTCAATACTTTTCAGTTTTGGCCTTATGGACAGCCAGATAAAATCAATTTCAGTTAATCATCAGTACTTTTCCCCCTAAAATGGCTGTAAAAACCAAAAATAAAAGGAAATCAAACAGGTTTATTTCAGACAGACACACATTAGAGCCTGATGTGTGCTTTGATTTGAACTTGAGTGGGATTTATGGGACGGCTGCTTTGTCTTCTCTCATTAACAGTAAAAGTAACGAACTTTCACATCTTTGTTAGTTGGCTTAACATTTTCATAAGGAGCCTTTTAGTTCAGCAAGCGTCGTGTTTAAATGCTCTTTAGACAGCGCAGCGTCATTGTTTTCCGCTTTGGTTTAGTTGCCACGCAGCCTGTACCCTTTGTTGTATTGTAGGCGCACTCTTTGTAATGGAAATAACAGTAACTTCCAATGACTGTTTGAAAAGATGAAATACACACAGATACACACAAATAACCCAGAACTGTGGCTTTGACTATCATAAGACTGAACACGTATACATATATGTACCACAAGCACACATATGTAGCCACAGTCAAACATCCCTAAAAATAATTTCTTCATGGAAACTATTGCAGAGAGGTTCAAGGACACAAACAAAAACATATGCGCCCACACACTGTATATTTGCATGCAGGACTCCTGACAAACCTTATTGTTTGTCCTTGACATTTTCATGTATTTGATGAAAGGCTGGTATGAAAGGGCCATATGTTGACATCACAAATCTTCAAATGTGGAGTGGTTTCTTTGTTCCCTCTCTCATGAGTGACTCAAGAGACTTCTTAGCTTTGGGTCGACCTGTTGTTAATTAACCACACTGCTGCTAGTTTGAAATGTGTGTGTGTGTGTCTGTGTACATATATATGTACAAAGTGGCTGCGACAGAAGAGAAGAAGAGAATGCTTTCCACATCTAACCTTTGTTTGTGTTGCAATGATGCAGAAAAAATGACGCATAAAACAAGGCAGTTTGTTCTGGTACAAATATGGGATGTTAATACAATAAACAAATGTTTTCAGAACATAACATCAGAGGATAGTCATTGCTATATCTCTGGAGGCAAGTAATAAAAACTTGGAATTTGAATTTCGCTGTATATTGAGTGTTTTCATCTTTTGAGAAAACCAATTTAGCAACCTTGCTTAATGCTACCGTATTACTGTGACAGAGAAAGTTGTCAATACTGGTTTTATGACCAACGTTTTAAAAGAAACCACATTAGATTAAGGGATTTTATAAAAACATGGACGGACAAATACCATGGTAAACATCACCGTTGAACACTGAACAGAGTGCGCTTGTGCTTCTTTTCTTCAACAGTGCACGTGAAGGCAGGAACGTGTGAAGTGATCGCTGCCCATCGCTGCTGCAACAAAAACAAGATCGAGGAGAGATCTCAGACTGTCAAATGCTCCTGCTTCCCCGGCCAGGTTGCTGGCACCACCCGAGCAATGCCCTCCTGTGTTGATGGTATGTACTCCTGAATGCTTTCGCATTCGCCTGATGAATCCCGCCCTCTGAGCAGCCCTGTAGAAAATTGCCATTTATGGTCGTTACTGTCTTCTCACCTTACGTTTTTCTGTGAGTGGTTATGGAACAGAGCGCTAGTTTAGTTATTTCATGCCGAGCACCGAGGCTGCGCTTGCATTATGACTGTGAAAGAAATATTGTACGAGTGCATACAGTGCTGCCTGACATTTACACTGCATAAGGAGCAGCCTATTTATGTACGCCACATGTGTTTGGGTAGTTAAATAACAGTAAGTAGGTGGATTCAACAAAAGTCCAGTGTCCTTTGTCGGTTTCACTAACTTCGACAGCCTGATTTATTTTCAACACAGACTCAGTCTATAATGTTTTTGTAATGATTTCAGAGGAATTACGAACATGATGGATGGCATAAGGTTACGCTGTCAACACAGTCAATTGAAAAATAATGGAATGCCTGCAAAAAAAAAATCAACCTGGTAAGGTACAAGAAACAGAAATGTGTATTGTTCTGGGAAGAAAAATAATGTGTATTTCTCAAGAATGACCTGTCATTTAACAGAAACAGCAAAAGAAATATTGAAACCAGATTAAGTTGATATGGACGTATTATTAATTGGTATTTCTGGTTAGTTTAAACAGGTGGTGTGGTGGCTAGCACCATTGCCTCACAGCAACAGGGTTCTGGGTTCGAGTCCCGGGGGACCCAGGACCTTCTCTATTTGCATGTTTTCCCTGTGTCTGCGTGGTTTCTCTCCGGGTTCTCCGGCTTCCTCCTACAGTCCAAAAATCTGCATATTAGGTTGATTGGACATTCCAGGGGCCACACAGACACACACAAGGACAAACAACCACGCACACCGTGCGTGGTTGTGTGGCCCTGCGATGGACTGCGATGGACTGTCAGAACGTCCAGGGTGTACCCCGCCTCTCGCCCACTGACTACCCCATCAGGGAATAAGCGGTTATGATAATGGATGGATGGTCAGTTTAAACAGAACAAAGAAAAATAATCAAACTGGCATCACCGGAAAGACTCTCTAATTCATTAGCAATGGACTGAGGTGTGTTTGAACATTAAATATTTAAATATTTAAAAATTGTGATTATCATGAGCAGTATTGCTTCCTATGTGAACGTGAAGGTAGCATGGATGCAGATATCCAAGTATTACAATCTAAAAAAAGCGAAAAAATTTCCAGATCTGTTTAAGTCTTTAAACTCTAATGTTGCACATATAAAACAGTTTCCAACAAATTAGCATCTTGCACATGTAAAAAATCCACCCTTGGTGAAATCAGAGGCTCTTGTCCCCGTGATTTTATTGTTCTCCTCCCTTTAGTTTTGAGCTAGAATTTAATCATGGATACCTCAGTCAGCCGCTGGACCTGTTAGTCATGTTGTGTAAAATGTGTATTCACTCATTTTACAACAGAGAAAAACAGACAGAGAAGTAAAAATTAAAGTTCACTTTTGAAAAAATGGATTAACATTTGGATTTCTTAAATTAGTTAGGCTACAACATGTCAGCAGCATTTGAATATTAATCAAGAATCCTATGCAGATACACCAGTAACAAACAAAAAAAGAAAAACTTTAGATGTCGCCGTGTGGAGTTAGTTTGATTATCATATTTTTTGATGATTTTATGTGTTCCAGCGTTGTCTATGAAATACAAAAGATCACAAATTCCTATGAATATAAAATGCAAATTATCTGTTAATTGCTGATTAAATTCACATGACTCCAGTGGCTAAGAAACCCACGTTCATGAAAATTTGGGAAAAACAAGTCACAAAATAGAACCCCACAGATTTCTCATTATCTCTTGGAAAATGTTTCCAGGCAAAGTTTGCTGACCTCGTAGGTTAATTGGACACTAAAAACCATGGTAAAACACGATTATTTCATTTGTTTACAGTATAGTTTGGACATAAAATTTCTCACAAATTAGCAACCCTGTTTAGGGAACGTGACGGGTGCACAGGCTACTAAAGCTCATACAAACTTAATACTTTAGCAAGCATCCATTAGGTAGGAAAGCTTTCAACCTTTGAGGTCACATAAGTATTTTTCCTCATCCATGATGGGTAAAGGACAGGATGCAACCTGGACAGGTTTCCAGTCCAGTGGAGAGACCACCTTGCAAAGCCCCGCTCACACCTATGACTAATTTAAAACCCTCAATTAACCTCTGTAAGTCTCTCAACTGTGGGAGAAAACCTGGGCAAAAACCCATGGGATGCCAGAAAACTACCAAACAAAATGAGTATTGCTGTTCAAGCCCAGACACTTCATACTGTGAAGCCACAGCAGCAAATCTTTAGACTTAAAAGTCTCAACCATTTAGCGTTTTGCCCAAATTCATATGTGCATTGTGCAACTTCAGAAGGAGAAGATAAGAACCTGCAGCACACATCATCAGATTTGTGCTGAGAGATGAGTGAAACTGTAACATCCCTTAAATTAGCTAAATAAACATAAAGTCAGCATTTACCTTTTGAAGTCTTGAAGTTGGTTTTGTTGATTTTTAGGTTCCACTGGCTCTCTAAGGTCACAAGCACTGCCACAAGTCAAAATATTTAATTCAATTTAGGGCTCTCAGCGTTTTATGTCAGTTGGGGTTGATTTAAATGTTTGCTGAACTCTTTGTTTGAGAGAAAATTTGAATATAAGTATAGAAATGTGTTGCATTTGACACATATAGAAATGATCAATTAAAATACAATATTGAAAAGACACTCACAAACATTTGGACAAATGCACAACTCTCTTTCTCCAGCCTCCATTGTAGCCCAGAAGTGGTGGTGTCAGATGCATCCATGTATGGAGGGCGAAGAATGCAAGGTTCTGCCAGACCTCACTGGATGGAGCTGCAGCACAGGCAACAAAGTCAAAACCACAAAGGTGGGTGTCCACACAATATTCCTCCCACACACACTCCTGCCATCCCTTTAGCACCAACATGGTCACGCCCACCACTGAAGGAACCAGCCTCACCTCCTATCATATTGGCACACATTTCTCTCCCCTCTCACAATGTATGCTGTCTTAATTGCCTCTGCTCCATAGCCTACTTCTTTCTCGTCTCATCCAACATCGCTTTTTTACTATCCAGTTTTTTCTTCTCTTCTTTCTCCATCTTGGATCTGACATCAAACATTCTCTGCAGGAAAAATAAGGCCAATGAGAACAAGGCAAACAACACACATGCACACGCACACACACACACAATTACTGAGCATGAATATCACAATTCCCACCACTCTCACTTGCCCTGTTTCACTGCGCCTCGCTGGCATGCCATCTGACTCGATGCAAAAAGAACTCGTCACATTGGATACACCAGAGCTGAAAATGTCCTCGAATAGCTGTTATGCTCCGATTCTTCCAAGATACGGTTCCTGCAGCATGTGAAAGCCCTTTGCTCTGGATTTATTTGCTCTAAATTTGTGTCCCTTATACATCCCTACCTGTTGGCTTGTCTTCAGTGGTTTGACCTATGCTGGCTTTGTAGCTTTCATAGGAGGGACATTTTACCAGGACACATCTTTTGTCACAATATTTTTTCCTTTGTAACCTCCATTCCTCTCTATGCCTTCTACCCTTCCATTATTCATGGCTAGGTGAAGACCTCTGCTTCCAAATAAATATGATAAGAGGATAAAAGGTGTGGTCAGAGCACAGCATCTCCACAGTTAAAACAGAGGGGTTGGAAGTGATTAAGACATTGCATCTTTCTTTTTCACAGAATATTCAGTCTGGTGTAAGCAACAATGCCATTCCTGTCCCTTCTTTTTTGTGTGGTCAAAACTCATCTCAAAAAGAATGTTGCACTCCACATCCCCTCTTTCTCCCCAAAAGCTTTTCCCCTCATTTCCACCATGAAACACTTTTTTGCTGTGTCTGCTTACCCTTAAACGTGAGTTAAACAGATCATAACTTTGCTGGATTGAAGGTTCCCCTCTAAATTTTATAACACAGAGATATATAGACAAAAGGGAAATGAGAGGTCTTAATTTCTGAAAGAGGCACACTGATCAGCTACAGAATAGTTGTATTTTTCTGAATATATGTGAAAGCCATTGGAAGGGACCCTCTTTCATTTGATCTCACGCATTCAGATTTATCTACACATTTATAATTTCCAGGACAAGATCTAAGCAAACCAGTTTCAGACAGGCATCCCTTTATCATTGACTCTGTCATGGCTTAAAAGAGCACAAATATTTGCTGTCTCTTACATTGAGGTCTTTGATCAATGATCTGCGTGCACTTGTGTTTCTGTTGTGTTTGTGTCTACGATATGTGAGAGCGTGAGCTGATGTGTTTGCCTGATGATGAAAAAGAGTGACTTTTTTTTCTCTCATCTGGTGTTCTATGCTGAGGTCAAGATGCACAGGCATTCAGATCAATAGCATCGAACGTTCTCTTATAGTCCCATTAAGACCTACTCGTAAATTGAAATTGACGATGGAGCAAGAGAGAGGAAGAGGATGGGCGGGGGGAGTAGTAAAGAGGAAGAAAAGGCAAGTGGAGATGAACTAGGGAGAAATATAACACATTGAAAGTCGAGTGGGAAGAAGATAAAAGAACACACAAACAGATATTTCAAAACCATTTTATTCTAACCGTTACCTCACAAGACACAAGACAAAACACAAATAAAGGAAAGTGCCTTCACCATCTGTCCTTCTGTCCCTGACTTGAAGCAGAGGAGAGGATGGGAGCAGGAGGGCAAAGAGAGACAGGGAGGATATGGAAGACAGCTAGATCAATGCCAGATAACATCACACACAAGAACAGACAGACATGGCCACACCGCCAAACCAGTCTAACATGTCCTAGTCTTCAGGACAGGGACAGCCTGGTGTGTATATACGCAAGGAGTTACATTAACAAAACTGATGTCTGTGCCTAAGACGTACACATAATTCAGGTCCTATGTCAGCCAGTGTACTACACACATCATGAAAAAAATGTATGCATAAATAAATATAATCTACTGTCATAAAATAGTCATTCAGGGGCATTCACGCTATTTACAGAGCTTTGAATTCATTTTATTATTTGCCTTGTGAGCTACTAATCCTTGCTGTCACATTTCTATGCATATAAAGAGAAGATGGTTCTCAATTTTCATAAGTTTATTCTGTGTCAATGTTGATTTTTAAAATAAATAAAAGATTCAAGTGAGAAACTTGTAAATACGTTTTAGGATTTACACTTGTTTATAATCACATAAACAAACATTAGCGTAGTTGGCTAAAGCCTTTGGAATATTGAAAAATGAAAATATTGCATATTTAAGGTTCCTACTGTATTTAATAGATATAACATTGCAGTACCTCTTGTGTACTTTGTAGAGTAAAAACTAATCACCAAGATATGCAGCCTAATGGGCACAGAAAGTTCCACCTACAGGGAATGAGCGCCTTAGGGGACTCTGACATTGCATCTTAAAACTTAGCAGGCACAGAACGCACCAGTGTATGTGCATAGTGAACTGGTATGACAACAAACGCCTGCAGATTCTTTGATCGGGCACAGGAGTGGATGCCTGAAGGCGATGAGAATGGTCCCAAGAAGGGGTTGCCTGGAGCCATCATGAGCAGATACAGCAGAATAGTTTCAGCTGACAGCTCGGAGCAAACACAGCTCCAAGCTCTTTTACTGGTGGCTGGCCTTCATATTATTTGGCTGGCATGTGGCTTGCTGGTTGAACAACAGAAGAGAGAGAGGAAGGAGCATGGGCCGAAGCAAAGGGGAAACAACCACTGATTACCAAAAAGACAGAAAGACATGAGAATCTCTGAGAGACTGGTTTATATGCTGCAACACTGGTCCAGGCTGTCTCTGTTTGTCTCAGAAAGCTTGAAATAAACCAAATGAGAGTATACAAATAAAGAAATGAGAGAGATGGACTCTTGAGATAAAGACCGTGTGATTGGGAGACTGCCACAACAAATACATGTAATGGCTGAGCGGGGGAGCGGTAGGGGGGGGGGGATTGAGGGGCTGTGGGCTGACTCATGTTCCACCAACAAGAATTTCTGCCTGTTAATTCCAAACAGTAGCCAGCAATGCCCGCAATGTATTATTTAAACCTTTTTTATTGACACCCTCTGCAGCCTTTTTTCTTCATCTTTACTGTTCAAGCACGGCCTGCTCTCTGTCCGTTTTGACCAAATCCTGTTCTCCCTGTTCTAGGTGACCCGATAGTCCAGCCCACCTTGAGATGAGCAGCACAAAACGGTGGTGAAAGTACTTATACAGCACAATGGACCTATCAAGTTATGAGGATATGCACTCAGATGGATTTCTGTGAGAAACCTGTAATTGTTTCATTTTTCTGAGGATAAGCAAAGCGCCACTGGCTGAAGAGACAGGACTCTAGCACTGCTTCCCATCACCTTATACGCAGCTGACTCTCCTGGATCTGTTCAAACAGAGGACTGCATCACACACATCCATTATTGCAACTACAAATATGAAGAATGAACTATGACCTAAGCACCACTCCATTATAGAAAGCAACTTATTTAGAGCAACATCTATTCTTTATCCCAAGTTTATTTTCCGGCTGACTTGTGTTCTGTATACATACTGGGAGACAAATGGATCTTTTTTCTTTTCTTTTTTTTTTCTTAATTTCGTTGGATTCTAGCGTGACATATGTTATCACAAAAAAGGGAGCTGATCCAGGATACCCTCCTCATATATTCCGATGACATTCAAATTTAACTGTGCCACATATAAGTCCCTTAATACTGTCAGAATATTTTTCAAATCTGAGTTGTTGTTTTTTTTCATTTCACCTCAATAAAAATATATTACCTTGAACAGTTTGTGGCTTACCACATGCCATTTTTTTAAAATCCAGAGACAGTTTGTCATTCTTGTTTTGCTCTTGCCTTTTGACAAAGGATCTTTACAGGGGTGAAGTTAGACTAATACTGAATAGATGTTATGGTATATTGAAACATGTAAACGTGAAAAAAATGGTCCATTGAATCCAGCGCAGGGAGGGGGTGGGGGGGTGGGGGTAAAAATAAAATGATGCTCTAATGGTTTTAATATCTGTGTTTTTAAAAACGCCTGTTAACCAATATTGAGTACATGTGTCAGTATTATATGAAATGAATAAAATCTTTCAAAAGAAAAGGAGCCTCTGTTGTTTGCTTCACCCTCTTGATGGATAGACACATGGTTAGTTATACAGAT